GCCTATCTGTGGCCTTCAAAAAGTTGACGACTCTACGTGTTTCGACGTTACAACTCCTGAGGATAGGCCTAAATAAAATGTTTTTAATTGTGTACCAGTTTAACGTTGAATATTATTTATGATTTTAACTAGGGAAATTGGTTGAGTCTTAATCCTAGTTCGCAAATTTTTTTGTTTATATCTTTAAAGCTGTGAATCAAACTGTTTTAAAAACTCTCCAAGAACCTGTCCTAAGAAAATACCAAAGACGTGTTTCGATAGAAAACGAATTTATGATATACTGGAAAAAAACAATACAATAAAATAGTTGCTTCTGGAAGTAACATTGGTATATTACACAACAAAACAACTCACCATTCACTCCAAGATGGCGGTATAGAAATATTTTCTTTCTGCCCAAGAATCTCTTGCAGCATTTTCAGCTCACGGAGTGCGTTCTGTAGAAGAAAACGAAACTCAGAAATTAAAAGATTAAAACTAGATTTACTTCTGCAGAGTCCAAAGTGTTCTGTTTCAAGATTAAGTAAAACCAAAATTAAAAGTAAAAAATTGTATTTCGTGCTTTTAAAGTTCATATGTCATGCTGTGTTGTAGTCTACAGAGTGCATAATTTTTCTCGTGATTCATGGCATGTCCACATTTTACTGAACGTCACGATAGCATCCCTTATGTGACGTTATTTTAGTGTCTACTGACTGACTGACACACAACACACTACTGTATAGTGGTGCGAGTGGTTAAAACAGGGGACCCCTTCAGGCGACTTTCGGCCCCCTTTCGGAAAAAGTTAGTTGTTATATATATAAACAGCTAAAGTTATATCCTATACTTCAGAAAAAGATCCAGACATTAAGGCCACGCCTGTTACGTTACGTTAAACTTCCCTTCCGCTAAACAACAATGTAAATTGCAAGAAACGTTTATGCAAGAACAATACGAAACGTTGTTAAGTTCGAGAAGAACAAGTCCTTCTTAAATCACGATGAAACTTCCCTGCTTTTCTTTCTTTCTTCCTCTCTGTAATTTTATCCTATGAAATACATTTTACGACTCAGCTACAGATATATATATATATATATATACGTGTATACATTTTATCCACTCAGTTTTTTATGTTTAAATTATTACTAGCTTAGTACTTTTGGTTTTACAGACTATCCTAAACTACTCGAACTTCATGAGGTATCATCGGGATTATTCTTGTAAATTGTTTTGTTACATTACCTGCTTTGAATAAAGCCGTTTTATTAAATTAGCTACATAATAACTAAATTAGCTTTTAGTTTTGACCTACGTTGTTATCTTTCAAATTACAGAATCTATTGAAAAAATTAAGTAACCTGGAAACAAAATACCTGCTATCTTGTAAATAGGCTTAATTTTGTTTTTGTGATGAGGTATCTGTGAAAACTTTACAAAATACCTGACATAATTGTTTTTGTGATGAAGTATCTGTGAAAACTTTACAAAATACCTGACATATTGTAAATAGGCTTAATTTTGTTTTTGTGATGAGGTATCTGTGAATACTTTACAAAATACCTGACATATTGTAAATAGGCTTAATTTTGTTTGTGTGATGAGGTATCTGTGAATACTTTACAAAATACCTGACATCTTGTAAATAGGCTTAATTTTGTTTTTGTGATGAGGTATCTGTGATATCCGTAACGGGTAGCCTGGTGAAGTCAAGGTTCAGAAGATAGCCTAACTCCAAGATCACACAATTCCTCGTAATGCATATCTTGTTTCTCTGTCATTGTACCTGAAACTCGGCCAATAAAAGAACATCGTACTCTCCTTTCCACAGGTGCAGTTTAACACAATGTTTCAGGATGTCGATTTTTATGGTCATACTTACGATATAGACACTAATCATGAACATTTGTTTTTATTTATTTTCGTAGCCTTCTCTCAATTCCGTCACTCTTAGAAATGTTGCATTTATGAGCACATTTATAAACAATAAACGTGTCAAACAACGTTTCGATAAGTTAACTTGTCATCATCGGGTGGAAAAAAGATCAACACACAAATTTTACACGTAACAATTTTGTCCTTGAAAGAAGGACCCTTGCGTTTGGAAAAACCTAACCTTATGTGACATGTTTTTATCATTATTTTCCGAACTAATTTATTGTTTAAATGAGTTTAATCATTTTTCAAATTCAATAAAAAAAAATTTGCATTTGACTAGCAGGCGTGGCCAAAAATTAGAGTGCCCGGATTGTGAATCAGAAACTTGATGGGTTGCTACCAATTGCCAATAGAGGGCGCTCCGCACTTCGAGGCTGTGGATGTGTCGGTCAGCGCCCTCTATTCGATCAAACAAGGGAAGATGAAGGGTAGGTTGTATGTACTGTTGACCAACTCTTTCTAGTCTATCAGTTTAAAATTAGGAACGGTTATGCGCAGATAATTCTTTTGTAGGTTACGAAACACAAAAATTATCATCAACGTCATATCGACTTCTAAAGAGAGAGAGATTTTACGTATAAACTTCAGAAAAGAAATACAAACCTTCAACTGACTCTCTTTCTTACGTTCATTGGTCAAAGTAAAATTGATAATATACAAAAGAAGATAAAGGTAATAGGAGATGTTGTCATTAACACATGGCTAACTCAGCTATAAAAGGGGAAATATGTTTGTCACTTGTTTATCAAACAGCTGGTTTAACCATGTATTTATATTTATCAGTTCCTGATTTTCTTTTCTTCGTTTCTTTTTTTCGTTGTCCTTTTTTTATTCCTGAATTTGTTGATAATGTATCAGAAAATTCGGCCAGTGTTGTTGAGTTTACTTTTTCAGATTTATTTATATTCATTGTTAAGACTATATAACTATAACTTCTTACCATTCTTCTCTCCTTTGTCATTTCGATCGTTTTCCTCAGGGCTTCCAGGTCTTGTGATGCCTGACCGAACTCAAGTCCACGCTATCACGAGAAAACTGGCATTAAATAGGTGTATAAATAGTTGTATCCTTCTCAACTTTCTTTACCAACACTAATATTCTGTTACCCGACACTTGGACACTAATATTCTGTTACCCGACACTTGGACACTAATATTCTGTTACCCGACACTTGGACACTAATATTCTGTTACCCGACACTTGGACACTAATATTCTGTTAACCAACACTTGGACACTAATATTCTGTTACCCGACACTTGGACACTAATATTCTGTTAACTTGTATTTACCAACACTTGGACACTGATATTCTGTTACCCGACACTTGGACACTAATATTCTGTTAACCTGTATTTACCAACACTTGGACAGTAATATTTTGTTAACCTGTATTTACCAACACTTGGACAGTAATATTTTGTTAACCTGTATTTACCAACACTTGGACAGTAATATTTTGTTAACCTGTATTTACCAACACTTGGACACTAATATGCTGTTAACTTGTATTTACCAGCACTTGGACAGTAATATTTTGTTAACCTGTATTTATCAATATTCGGACACTAATATTCTGTTAACCTATGTGCACGTGGGGGTGGAGGGGGTTCAAGGTGCTCAGGCCACGACCTTTACCAGTTAATATTTGTATAGTTGCCTTCTTCTTTGTAGCCCACTTCTAGATCAACAGTAACTTATGACCTTTAATTCCGTTTGTAGGTGACTTACTTGATCAACAGTAACCTATGACCTTTAATCCCGTTGATAGGAAGACTTGCTAGATTAATAGTAACCCATGACCTTTAATCCCGTTTATAGGAAGACTTACTAGATCAACAGTAACCTATGACCTTTAATCCCGTTTGTAGGAAGACTTGCTAGATTAATAGTAACCTATGACCTTTAATCCCGTTTGTAGGAAGACTTACCTAGATCAACAGTAACCTATGACCTTTAATCCCGTTTGTGGGAAGACTTACTAGATCAACAGTAACATATGACCTTTAATCCCGTTTGTAGGTGACTTACTTGAGATTTCCGAATTACTGACGAGTGTTCTTGGATGTTGAGAACATCTGTATCTGTTGAAGACATCGGAGAAGGTCTTGCCAAGCTTTTCTCTCTGAAGAACAAGTATAAGAGGATAGGAATGAAATAAAGTTGTTGTTTAATCGATTAATAAACACACGGCAAACATATTACAAGTATTTCACATTTTATCTGTTTAATGCGAAATTATTGCTATCAAACTTTTGAGAAGAAAAAGATTACATCTTACGTCAGATTTTTGTTCTCTTTCTGCTTAAACACACGAGTTAATTTTACAGTAACCTCTGTATTCAATCATAACGTTCTAGAAGAAGCGGGACACAATTGTGATTGCTCTAATTTGTACATGTTAACTTTACTGAAATAGATAAACGTTTTTCTCGGGTGGGAAGAAAAACAAAAGAACGTGCAATGTCACAGAATAACCTTATGTCACTTCCTCTACTATTAGAAATAGTGTTCGCCTTAAGTTTGTGTGTAACACTCTAAACGTGTACAGTATTATGGCTCATCAGATCAAATAAGACCAATTCTAATGTTTGCTGTTATAACTTTTCGATAATACACTGAATCTTTCAGAATATTCCTGTCAAGACATCTATACATCTTAATGACTACATATTTTGACTCGTCTCCTACTGAGGAACTATATGATATAAATGAAGTGTAACGCATTTCGTTCTGTAGACAAAGGCTTTTTCCGTGACATTGGTTTATAGAGGTTACAATTAAGTGGTGAACAGGGTTTGATAAATATGATATGAAACGTTTAAAAGTTAAGTGGTCTCTTTTAGTTTCTTTCATAAGAATTTCATTTCCAAATCCCATCACAGTATTATGATAAAGATCAAAATATCTGTTCTTCCTAACGCTGACTCTTGACCTTACACTCATCGAAACCTAACTGGTTCATGATTAACTCTTATTCGGCAATTTTGAGAAGGAAAAGTTTACTAGAGCTAACCTTAACATGTAGAGTCGTCAACGTTTTGAAGGCCATAGATAGGCCTAAGTAAAATGTTTTTAATTGTGTACCAGTTTAACATTGAATATTATTTATGATTTTAACTTTATACATAACTGCCAAAATACTATAATTTTTTGTATGCTATTTCTGTTTAACTGGGCGATTTGAAAAGTTATAGCTTTGACTTGATCAACGAAAGCTGGTAAAGCGCTAAAAGTCAGTAGGCCTAATAACTGTTTGTGTGCTGTTTCTGTTTATAAAGGCGATTTTAAAAGTTGCTGTTTTAATTTGAACGACGAAAGTTAGTGAAGCACTATAAACCAGTAGGCCTAATAACTGTTTGAACTGTTTATATGCTGTTTCTGCTTCAACTTGTGATTTTAAAGTTGCGACTTTGCTTTTAACCACAAAGGCTAGCAAAGCACTATAAACCAGTAGGCCTAATAACTATTTCTGTGTTGTTTCTACTCAAACGCGTAATTTTATTTGTAATAGATCCTGAATATTAAAATAGAATGATGACAGATCAGTTTGAATAATTGTTATCACGATTACTAAAGCTATTAATAAACCTTACTTAAACACATTGAAAATAGGTTTTGTTCTTTGTTTAATGTTGTATAACAAAAAGTTATAAGCGTTATCAATGAAGGATAGGATGAATAGCTAATCTTAATAAAACAATAACCAATTATTTGCAAGTAACCGTTTTTTATACTCTTGTTTGCTCATTTATGCTAAGTACAAATGTTCAAACAAGAATTTTGTTATCAAACTTAGGAATAGTTTCACATCAATACCAAGTTTACCGCGTATTGTACTTTTCTTCAGGTTCACATACAGTACTAATTCGGGTAAAATAAACAAAACGCATGTAAGATCAGGAAAATAATCATGAAATAAAAATATAAGACTAATAATTTAGCCAATGACATTTTACGTAAAGATCCTACCTTTTAGTGAAGCTTTTGATAGAAAGTAATCGCCCTAATTTCATTCTTAGCTCCATCACGAGGAACAAGTATGTTGTGTCACAATGTACTCGACGTCTTTTATATATCTTACCTCTTGTTTAGTTGTTTTACAAGAATGGGCTAATTGTTGACGACCTAAGCAATTCTAAGCTGCCTGAGTCATTCTACCAACTGCCCTGTCTTAACAAAGGTCATTGTGAGGTCACATGTGTCAATATGTCAAGCCAAAATAGTTACCACTGCTGTGAACGTTTATCATCTGTGATTCATTAGATACATCCCCCCCCAAAAAAAAAACAGTGTTAATGACGATTATACTAGCGGGCAAATAGCACGCCGTTAAGATAACATATGAAGCTTAGCCTAAATAATCGAAGACGTTTTAGGTTTGAAAACATCAAAAACTCGTGCGTGAACGTTGGTGAAAAACATGTTGATTTGAGTTGAGCAAAAACCTTCAAACTATCACAGACATTTTCGGCATCAGAATAAATTTGTAAAGAGCTTAAGATACTGTTTATCCCCAAGAAGATGTCGCCAATACAACTGTTTCAAAATTAATGCGATAATTTATTCCTAATTCTAGTTTATGCATGATACAAAAAAAATAATAATAATAGTGCCCGATGACAAAGAATATTGACTTTGTAAAGTTATTACCAGTCAAATATTGTTGTTAACCCTAGAATTAATGACAGGAATATACAGAGTCAAATATTGTTGTTAACCCTAGAATTACTGACAGAGGTATACAGTCAAATATTGTTGTTAACCCTAGAATTACTGACAGAGGTATACAGTCAAATATTGTTGTTAACCCTAGAATTACTGACAGGGATATACAGTCAAATATTGTTGTTAACCCTAGAATTACTGATACCTATATACCTCAAAGTATATAAAGTAAAGTGCTTGTTACTAGACGATACTTAACACCAAAGGTATTACTGTATGGTGTTAATCTCACCGAAGTGTTACTACATGGCACTTAATCACCAGTATATTACTGTACAACGCTTAACTTACAGTAGTATTACTACACGACACCTAACTCACCAAAATATTAATATATATATGCCTAACAAGCTATAATACCTGTGTTTTGTACCATTGTTAACATGTTAATTTCTTCAACCCTATTCTCTCACGAGAATGTCCATGATATGTTTTTCAACAGCAAACCATTATAAATGTTCCACAAAACAAGGGTGAGTGAACTGAGAACACAACCGATAAAGGTGGATTAGGTACAAGTAACAAATATTAAGTAAATAAAACTAAGAAACATGGTTCAGTAGCTGAACATTACATCATTCTGTTGATAACTCGAAGGGAGAATATTTTTGGAACTTAAAACAAAACAATGTAAAAATAACAGAATGAAGAGTCAGTTATCAAGAATTAAAAATAAAATGATGTATCGTACTTGAATGTTGAAACAAACCAAAAATAGAATTTTAAATAATATAGTCATTTAAACATTCATTTATCAAACATTGATAAACAACTTGAAACTAAACAAAGTTATAACTCAACAGACCGAACAAAACATTCATTATTCCTGACTGTATACGTTCAGTATTGTTTACTCTGTAAGTTTGGTTATTGTTGATTATATAAGTACAGTTATCGTTAGATGTACGAGCTCAGTTACTGTTGACTGTTTAAGTTCCGTTATTGTTGATTGTATAAGTAGAGTTATTGTTGAATACACAAGCTCTGTTATTGTTAACTGTTTAAGTACAATTATTGTTGATTGTATAAGTAGAGTTATTGTTGAATACACGAGCTCAGTTATTGTTAACTGTTTAAGTACAATTATTGTTGATTGTATAAGTAGAGTTATTGTTGAATACATAAGCTCAGTTACTGTTGACTGTTTAAGTTCCGTTATTGTCGATTGTTTAAGTTCAGCTATTGTTTATTTTATAAGTCCAGTTAATATTAACTGTTTAAGTACAATTATTGTTAATTGTATAAGTTCAATTATTACTGACTGAGTGCAGTTACTGTTGACCTTATCAATACAGTTATTTTTGACTGTATAAGTTCTGTACAGATTCAGTTGTTGTTGACTTTTATAAGTACAGCTGTTTCTGACTATAGGTTCAGTGAGGACATGTTAAAATTTGCTGTATTAACGTATGAGCGAATAGTAATAGCTCTAAAAATGATATTTTGTGGTGAAATATTTAGATGTTTTCAATAAAGAGTGTTTATTATCACAAAGCTTGTATCATGTAATAACACCTTAATCGGTTAGGTGTTATGTAGAAGTAAGATCTTGGTGACTAAAGTGCCATATATTAATACCTTGATGAGTTAGGTGTCGTGTAGTAATACTACTGTAAGTTAAGCGTCATACAGTAATACACTGGTGATTAAGTGTCATGTAGTAATACCTTGATGAGTTAGGTGTCATGTAGTAATACCTTGATGAGTTAGGTGTCGTGTAGTAATACTACTGTAAGTTAAACGTCATACAGTAATACACTGTGATTAAGTGTCGTGTAGTAATACCTTGATGAGTTAGGTATCGTGTAGTAATACTACTGTAAGTTATGAGTTAGGTGTCGTGTAGTAATACTACTGTAAGTTATGAGTTAGGTGTCGTGTAGTAATACTACTGTAAGTTAAACGTCATACAGTAATACACTGGTGATTAAGTGTCATGTAGTAACACTTCGATGAGATTAGCACCATACAGTAATACCTCTAGTGTTAAGTGTCATGTAGTAACACTTCGGTGAGATTAGCACCATACAGTAATACCTCTGGTGTTAAGTGTTATGTAGTAACACTTCGGTGAGATTAGCACCATACAGTAATACCTCTGGTGTTAAGTGTTATGTAGTAACACTTCGGTGAGATTAGCACCATACAGTAATACCTCTGGTGTTAAGTGTTATGTAGTAACACTTCGGTGAGATTAGCACCATACAGTAATACCTCTGATGATTAAGTGTTATGTAGTAACACTTCGGTGAGATTAGCACCATACAGTAATACCTCTGGTGTTAAGTATCGTCTAGTAATACTTTAAAAAGTTATATATGTCTAATTTTTCAGTGTGAACTATCTATAAATGTTTGCAATAACAGGAAAAGTTTAAAAAACGGATAAAAAAGTATTTTTACCAACTGAGTAAGAATGTGTACTCTATACGACTCAAGAAATAGTGTTAAACAAATTATATCTATATATTTATACGTGCACAAACATTTTCTTAAGCTTACCCTTCGTACTTATAAGTAGTTTCTTTCTGGTTGGCCTCTCTGGGTAGAGCGTTATGTTGTCCCAGAATCTCTGCATTGTTTTTAATTTGATGCTCTTGGCTCGTGTAGTTCACATTATCATTTGTCAGATTGTTTTCAGTCTTCTGTTTGGGTTCAGTTTCGGTGTTGAAAGACGGCCCCCACTTCCTGTTGTTTGAATCAAACTCATGCTCTGTGCTTCCGCAAACGTCATTTCTCACTTCCGCATATTCTTTACTTAAGTTGTCCTCTTCCTCAATGACTTCTTTCCACAATAAAGGCTTCTCAGAAGTATCACAGATTATCTTACTAATAGCTGTTCTATAATCCACTGTAGCGCCTGCTGGTGGATCATTATTTGGAACTAGGGCATACTCGTTCACGTCTTCTTCTTGTGCAATAGTTATTGGTGCGATGTCCCTAATTAGGGTAGTGTTAGACATAGGACAACATTCCATACTGTTGGGTTCAACAACAGAATAACCATTCAGTCTTGTCCCTGATCCTCCTTCGTCCCTCTTTACACTGCTAACCTCATATTCAAGTTCTACATTATTATCTTCCACACAACTTGATTCTTGTCTTCTTCCGTCATCTGTTATCGAACTTCCACTCACTTCCTGTTCTACTGTTATTAAAGACGAGCTGTTCATCTCACCATTACTCCTTTCAGAAGAAGAAGAGTCCAGTATGCACATCGAATCTTTTCGTGTTTTGGTTTTATTTTCGAAATCCTGACAAACTAAAGTTTTCAACACCCTAGTTTTAGTGGGAGTCAAACTTCTATTTTTATCCAATGCTTCTTTAGAAAGATCACACGATTCTTGTTTCTGCTCTATTATGTTATTGCTGTAACCATGAGTTCCCACGTGACTAAAATTGACGTCATCAGGGTCAGACATAAGCACGTTACGAGCAAATCTTCCTCCAGAAACGTCTGTATCTTCCTTTTCTGATGCTGTATTTCCGTACAGTTTTTTTTCAGGTTCAATGCAATTTGAAATCACCCAAGAATCTTGAAGATTCTTCTCATGCCATTCTGGTTCAAATGATGTCTTCTCCAATATCGGACTTTCGCTGACTGAGATCTCGTTTAACAAAAGCTCCTGGTTATCAAATGCATTCACAACGTACTCTCGACCACGGGAATCTACCTTGCGAATCAGCTTTCCAGATTGGTCGAAGTCCTCGTGAATATCTGAAATCTCGTTACCTTGTGGCCAGCCACACGGTTCGTTATCAACATCCTCCTTATCAAAGCTATATGTTGTGACATATTGAAAATTAGGTGTTTCTACATTGTTTTCGGTATCTGTAATCTGATTGTTTTCTTGTGTACCATTATCAACCTTTGTATTTTTTTCAGGCTCGTTGTTACCCATCCCATTTTGACTTAAAAGACTTGTCAAAAATGCTTGTCTACTTTGTCTCTGGCTGTTTCTGGTTTCATTTATTTTGCCATTTTGATTAACTGGCGACATCTGGTGAAAAGATGAAAAGTTAGAACAAATTTCTAAACAATTTACTTTACCTTTGTCAATGAACGCCTTTTCCTTTGGCGGAGAATTTCCTAGGTTATGTTTACTGGAAGCTTCAGAATCGTCTGCAGCGTAAGCTTCTTTCTGTTTATGGTGCTGGCTTGCGTCCGCACGTGCACAGTGTCCTTCCGTTAGTCGAGGTAGATGATTCAAATAGTCTGTAAAATTCAGACTCGAATCCTCACAAGTGTTACAGTGAGACGCCCCGTGAAGCCTCTCACTGTCGGGAGAGCTTAGAGCTGGATTATCATCCTGTATTTCCTCATCATTTCCGATAGTTGACTCCATTTCCGTGTAAGGTTTCCCTGGTGACGTCAGAATACAAAGAATTACGTCTTCGTCGCTGTCGACAGTTGTGGTGTTATCGCACCGATGACCTCTTTCTAATATAATCTCGATATCAGAATCGAGAGAGCCATGAAATCTTTGGAATTTAGATGCAAAATCTGATTTCTGGTCATAAAAAGAATGCATCTGATCGATAGAGGGGCAAGAAAAACTGAGAGAAGACGAATTGTTTTTTGTTTTGTTTGAATGCAAAGCTGAACGGTGAATTATCTGCGTTGTGCTCACCGCCGGAATGAAATCTCGATTTTTAGCGTTATACGTCCTTAAGCTTACCGCTGAGCCACCGGACGGCGAAGACTTATTGACTTGGTAATTAACATTTTGAAAGTTTTCCTTACCCTGAATTCCCGTAATATTCAACACATGATCTGAATCGTCTTCGTGTGTTTTTGTGTGTTTCAGACTATTGCATTTTGTTTCTTTTACAAACCCAGAGATGCACAAGTTATTTCCCTCAGGAGTAGAGTAGACGGATTTATCACCCATAATCAATTCATCACCTAGGGTGGTCAAGAAAGAACAAAGGGAGGATGACCGTCGCAGTTTGTTAGGATTGGTCATTTCGTTCTTTAGATCATCAACGTCATCATTTCTTAGCCCTTCACTAGTGATATGAATCACTGGCAGGTTTGGATGTTCGTCAATATCTGTATTGAAACCATCTTTGTAGCTTGTTCTGGTACTTGATAAATCGGTGTTTTCACAAGTTTTCTGATAAGGTCTGAAAGTTTCTACTTTAGCTGCGGATTTGGCACTTTCCACTAGTTCTTCTGAACTAACAGCTGATGTGGTACTTTTCATCAGTCCTTGTTGGAGTCGGTTATCAGAAAGAAAGATTCGTGGTGAAATTTGATATTTTAGCCAGTTGAATGTTTCATTATCTACATCAAAGGCAGAAATTCGTGAGGATAAATTCTTGCCAGAATTTGCGGCTACATCATCTTGTTCGTCATAATCACTGTCCGTGGAAAGGTACGAGTCTTTCCTGGAAGAAACTTCTGGAACGAAGTTCTGCTGAGGGGAGGTTCGTCCAGAAGAGATAGATCGAAGACTGGATTGCCTGGATAAGGATTCGTTCCCTTCTTGTAGTGGATCAAGTAAAGCAAGTCGTTGGTACTGACAGTGGAATGGATCGATATTTCCTGGTCTAGAAGTTTCCATGTAGTTTTTAGAAGCTAATTTGTCATACTTACCACCAGGATTTTGCTGGATTTGAGATTCGCCGTGTAAACTTAGAACCGTTGCTGTTCGCAAAAAAGGAAATTTTCGTTTAAGCTTTGGTTTTGACACGCCAGGGGAGTTGACATCAATTTGGGGCATTTGACTGTCGTCAGTACTATTTCTTCTTTTGGACAGCAGGTTTGTTCTAACAGAATCTCGCGAGAGCTCGAGTGACTTCAATATCCTGTAGTCCATCTGGCGCAAGTTTTCTGAGTGTAATTTTTGAATCCTGTTCTGGATGGACGATGAGAAGCGTCCTGGTACATCAGGATTGACCTGTCCTGTTATTCCCAGGTTCTCCAAGATCTCTTCGGCGGTGTTTGTAGCACCTATATCCAAAACGAGGCTGGGATCGTCTACGGATGATTCACTCTCGATGCTTGTCGATCTGTAAACACGAAACGCCTGATGAAGCGAAGTGAGTCGACGTTTCGTTTCGTCGTCGATCCCTTCCTTTTTCAGTCGATTTTCGTGAAATTCTACGATTTGAGAAAATAACGACTTTTCTTCCTTCCAGTGTAATGTTGACTGTTCGTCCATTTTTCTAAAAAAACAACAACAAATATATATATATATATATACACGTAGACATTAAACTAATTGCCTGTGGGTCTCGGGTTTGAATCCCCGCCCCCCCCCCCAGTGGCACAGCGGTATGTCTGCGAACCTACAACGCTAGAATCCGGGTTTCGATACCTGTGGTGGGCAGAACACAAATAGTCCATTGTGTAGCTTTGTGCTTAATTACAAACAAATCGAATCCCCGTCACACCAAACATGCTCGACCTTTTAGCCGTGGGAGCGTATAATGTGACGGTCAATCCTACTATTCGTTGGTAAAAGAGTAGCCCAAGAGTTGGCGGTGGGTGGTGTTGACTAGATGCCTTCCCTCTAGTCTTACACTGCTAAATTAGGGACGGCTAGCGCAGATAGCCCTCGTGTAGCTTTGCGCGAAAACCATAACAAACAAACAAATAAACTAATTACAAACTATTGTAACTACAGCATTTGTTTACATAGATAATCAATAAATTGTACTAACACTTCGCCAAAAAACATTTGATTTCCATCAGATAGAAAATTCCATCTTACTCAGACACTACGCTAAAAACGTTTCATTACAACCAGGTGGCATTTTCAGACCTTTTTCTCGTTTCAGAGGCAAAAATTGAAATCCAGGAATACGGTAATTATTATAAATTCAAGTTTAAAAGAAAGTTCGATTCAATAATACGAGCACAAAACATGGAACTTTTGTATCCACCACAAAAGTATATTTTTAGAATAAGTTAAGTACACGTAGCAGGCTGTTGAAGCAACGTAAGTAAACTAAGTAATAATTTAAAGCAAGTTTATTTATTTTTTCTCTCAAAATATTGATACAGAAGCGCCACCTGAATAAATTAATCTATACGCTAATATCAATGTTTTAAAACAACCCGATGAAACAACTCACCTAAGATTTCGAGTTGTTTTGAACCATAAGAATAATAACAACTACCTTTTAAATTTATATTTTATTAAACGATAAGGCAATGTCAGGCTTATTTTTCTCATGTAAAACTGTACGTTTGCTTGCTCATACTGCCATCTAGTGTCAATTTAATAAACTAAAGGATATTTAATCTGACATCGGACTCCACGAAACAACAAATACTTGGGAGTTTCTTTTTGTTATACGTTTCTGATAATAAAAAAACACATTATCCTAAAATGGTGAATAAATAAATAAATTGATTTTACAAATTAGCCAAGTAATAAATCTATACAGATTTGTCAAAGAAATATTATTATCGCTGTTCAAGTGATCGGTAACAAATACATTGCATGCGTTATAATTAAATTAAAAAAAACTGTGTTTCTATTTAAAAAGATGAACAAAACAAGTGTTACGTCTCCGTTTGTTAATTGATTTCCCATAAATTCGTTCCGACGAAACTTTAGCGACACGAGTCCTTTCTTAAATAAAACTGGTTTATTCTTTTTGAATATAACTTTACGATACACTTAATTTC